AGATGTGTGAATTATCTTTTCTTTGAACTATATACTGAAGCCCACTGATTTTTATATGTTATTTATTTGTTTCTGTCCTTTACATAAAGATTTCTAGGCAGTCTTTTATTCATTAATATGACTGTTGTTTTTTAAAAAAAAATTGGGGCGGATAGCTTTTTAGGTCAAAAATTGATTTGTTTTTACTTAGACAAATCAATTAACTTTTTTTATGGTTTCTGTGTCATGCCTAGAAAGTTCTTTCTCCACTTGGAATATTTTTTTCTAATATTTTTATGGTTTCATTCTTTAATTTTAAATGTTTTTCTTTCTTTTATTTTGGGGTATTTTATTCCAAATAGTTACCTAGTTTTCAAAATGTTTTTACTAAATTATTCAACTTTTCCCCACTGATTTGAAATGCCACCTACACAATGCACACAGTCATTATATACATTGATTTAAAAAAAATACAGAAACCAAAAAATTAGACAAACTGATTCTAAAATTTAAGGAAGCATATAAGAACAACCATGAAAACTCAGAGAAAGAAGTATAATAATGGGGTTGGGGATTTAGCTCAGTGGCACAGCGCCTGCCTGGCAAGCACAAGGTTGTGAGTTTGATTCCCGGTACTGGAAAAAAAAACAAAAACAAAAAAAAAAAGAAGTATAATAAGCATGGCACTAACTCAGTCAGGTACTAGAGTACATTACAAAGCTATAAGTCAATATAATCACTTATTTACTAGACTATGAGCTCACTGACTACAAGGAATAATTCAACCCTATGCATAGCACAGTTCTGGCTGGAGTAGGGAAGCAACACTGTTTGCTGAGTGAATGAGTGAGCAAATTAAGAAAGATGAAACAACCTTGGTTTGAAAGACTAGCTGTCTCAGATGCTTTGCATTTGTTTTTTCCTGTTATCTTTATTTTCTACCCTCAGCTCACTCCCGAGCAAACAGGCTTAGAGAATACACAGCACCGAGTGGGAAGAGACTGAGATTTGGCTTTCACCAGTTGCTTCTCCAGGGCCTGCCCAACTGTCTTTCTTTCTGGGGGCCAGGACGTCACCTCCCACACCCACTACTAGCCTGTGACTCAGGCTACAGCCCAGCCCGGTGGACAGGGACTGGGCTCCAGACCAGGACTTGTGGTCTCTTGGAATCCTGAAGTTCCAGCTGCCACATCCCATGACAGGGACCCAAGAATGAATGTGGCTGCACAGGAGGAGCCTCTGGAGTCTGTGCTGGGAACCACGAGGTCGCCAGATCTCTTGTGGGCACAGACGAAGTGTTCCAGCTCCAGCCCATCTGCTGTACACCTTGGGGAAACAAGCTCTCTGAGCTTCATCTAGAGTGTTGGGACTCTTTCTTTATTGAGGTGAAATGTCTAAACAGTGAAATGCATAGACTTTACAGTATACTGTAAATACTTTGTTAGACAAAGGGAGTCACATAGTGTGTACTTGTGCATGGCTTCTTCGTAATAATGTTTTTGAGATGCATCCATATCATTGCATATATCATTGTTTCCTCCCTTTAATCCATCTCCGTCACTGTAGGGACACACCTCACCTCTGGACCTCTTCACCAGCTGTGGATACTTGGGCTGTTTCTGGTGGGCACTAGGTGTGTTTCAGTGGGCGTGAATTTGACTTCTGTTGGGTAAATACTTACTTGAGGGCCTCAGATGCATGTCAGCCCTGCCTCCTTCCAGGGGACCTGCCATGGGGAGCACCCCCCCTGCTACCCCTTGGGGCTCAGTTCCCCTGCTGCTCCTAGTCTGTGACTGAAGATGGCAGGGGACAGCCCCCGCAGCAGCCTACCGCAAACTTTGCCAAAGCTGCACTGAGTCCTTGGCTCTTTCTACCTGGACCCCTTCCTGTCATCTCTGGCACAGGGGAGAGACCTGCATCCTCTCCTGCCTGCTTCCTCCTCAGTGACTCTGCTATATCTTACCCTGTCCCGGCATCTGCTTCATTGAAGACCCACTCAGACTCCACCTAGGGTGGAACTTCAAGGTCATACCCTCCCCGTATTTCAGTGAGGATGAGCCAGTGAAGTGTGGGCAGGAAGCACCTAGCATGGGGCAGGCTTTCTACCTGGCAGGGTCAGCTGGGCAGAAAGGAAGGTCTGCAATGCTGCTCTGCAGGCTGGAGTTCCTTGCCCAGACAATACCACCAGCAGGAGGAGCAAGAATCTGATGCATGTGCAGCCATCCAGTTCATCTTGCCCTCAGAGCAATTCCAGAGCAAATAAGGGCTTGACAGTGGTCTCTAGAACACGGGTGAACTGAGACCAGGGGGTGGTGCCATGACTGAGGTTGTCAGATGCACAGATCCACCTACATGCCTCATGGCCTCAGGTAAGGCTTTGGCTGATGTGGGCATAGAAATGACACCTCAATGTTACTGCCTGCCTGAGTGTAAAGTGGCCCTGCAGGTGTGTGAGCTCTGGCACCTGCTGTATTCAGCTCTATGCCACAGCAAAACTGGCGCACGGCTCTGAAGGTTCAGTTGAACTGGGCCCCAAACCAGCAGGAAGGTATCAATCGACTAATTCTGCAATGCTGGTTCAAGGGTTCTGGGAGGAGCCACTACAAGAGAGAAGTAAAGAAGAAAGGCTTCCCAAGAGAGGAAGTTTGGTCCCAGACATCTGCTTTTAAGAATGACCTTGCACTCAGCAGGCTGAGGCAGGAGGATCGTTGCAAGTTCGAGATCAGCCTGGGCTACAAAGTGAGCTCAAGGCCAGCCTGAACTGCATAGCGAGACCCTATCTCAAAAAGACAAAAGAAAAAAAGAATGATCTCAAGAGATCAACAGTAGAGCAGGTGGGGCTTCCCTTTCCCTTTGGTATCTGTTTCTTGTTTATATAACTACTGTATTTCCAAGTCCCCAAAAGAGAAGGGAGGAAAGGTGCTAAGAGGACGGAAGCTACACTGAATCCTTCCAGACAGAAACAACATAAACAGGAAGTGTAGGTGATCACCAGACCTATGGGGAAACATTCACCGTGGCTCACAGGAAGTGCCATTTTCTCCTAGTACCACAAACAAAGGTTTCATTTCAAAACTCAGTTCCAGCACCCAGTTCAAGGCAATGAGCTGAGCTCAGCCTTCTCGCCTTTCCAAAGACTCACTAAAATGGCATGAAGCTAGGTATGCAAAACAAACCCAGGCAAGGCCACAGAGCCTCTCAGGAGTCACAATTCGTTCAAGAATTTTTGGAAGGTTGAGAACAGATAGGTGGGTACCTATGACTCAGGGGAGCCAGCAAGTTGTGTCCCAAAAGGAGGGGAACATGGAATGTTCCAAGACTTACTCTGCCTGGAACAAACTCTTCCCATCTCCACGTGGCCTCCTTCATTCCACACAGACATCACCACCAAGAGAACTTCCAGGGCTGCGCAGTCTTAATCGGCCTCCCCTCCCTAGCCTGGTCCCTCCTCACAGTGCCTATCCTTCACCACCTGAGATTACATCACTCTTTTTCATCCCCACCAGAGTAGGAGCTCACTGAAAACAAGGGCTGAGTCTGTCTTGGTCTCCAGGTGCCAAGCAGAAGACGCTTGTGAGAAATGGGATGCCTCTCACCCTGCACAAATGATGTCCTCACCCAACTGCCCAGAATCTGTGAATACATCACCGTGAGACAGGAAATTAGGGTGTGGCAAAGCTGGCTGGGGAAGTAGGCCGGACCTGCTAGTTTCCAGATCCCGAACACAGGCATGAACGGTTCCCAGAGCCCTATACATGCACTTCTATGTGGGAGACCCTGACTGACCTCCACTGTATATTAGTAGCCGTCTTAAGCATTAAGTTTCTGTTGTCTGAGATGTTTCTGTTATCCTGCCTACTTCCCCGAAGACACGCACCTTTCCCTTTAAATCAGGACTGCCCACCGTTACCTAGCTACTCCCGCCTCTAGAACTAGGACTGCCCACCGTTGCCTAGCTACTCCCGCCTTTGTCCAGTTACGTGGTTACTCCCGCCTTAAGAACTTCCGCATTTCCCTGCGCCCTATATATACACCGTACTTCCCGCCAATAAACGAGACTTGATCAGAATCCTGTCTTGTCTCCATTCTTTGTGTCTCTTGTCCTGTTATCATCCCCACTCCCCTTCTAGGGTCCTCCTTGACTGTACCCGCGGGCCGGGACACTTCTACAGAACTTGAGCAGGTTGGCCTAGACCTGAAGTGTGCCTGAGGAGTAGGTGATACAAAACTGACAGTTGCCATTGAGTTTTTGCCACTCTGTTCTCTCTGGCAAAGTGGCCTGCCCTCAATCTTTAGGGTGTACTTCATTTCCTACTTTTACTTTGCCCAAACTTGCTCTGCAGAGCCTGTTTGTTTTCCTACCTTTAATAAAACTTTGCTACTGTTTGTGTTGTCTTGACCAAGTCTTTGCTCAGGACAGAAAGAATTTAGAAACCACCTCCAAAAGGAGATTCCAGATCCCCAAGTTTAGTAACAACCATAAAAGGCTAAAGGACTTTGCAGATGAGATGAAAGGTCTTGAGAGGAGAAGATGGCCCTGAATCATTTCCATCAGATGGGTCCAATAGTCCTTATGTGTGAAAGAATGGGGTCAGTCAGAGAAGAGGTGACAATGGGGAAGCAGAGAGATGTGGGGCCATATGCTAAGGAATGAGGCAACCTCCAGAAGCTGGAAAAGGCCAGGAAGTAAGTTCTTTGCAACTGCTAAAAGGATCAACTCTGCTGATCTTATAGGTCAGTGAGGCTGATTTGGGGCTTCTAACTTTCAGGACTGTAAGATGTATGTTTAGATACCGAGTTTATATTCATTTGTTGCTGCAGGAATAGAAAATTCACACAGTGCTCAATAAATATTTACTGAATGAAGGAAGGAAGGAATGACTATGTGGGCCCAGGAAGGGAACTTCCACCCCTACACTTCTACACTTTCTGGAAGAAAAAAAGCCCTGCCTGTCATTGTCCCTGAGCGAAGTGTCATTCTTTATGAGGTGACAAGGCGAGGCCTGGCACAGAAAGGGATGGGGGATGTGGCTGAAAGCTGCCTCTTACTCCACCACCTATTGCCAGCCTCTGCTGTAGCTGATCATTTACTAAAGGTAAAGTCTGCCCCCACCGCTCACGCCTGCAGGCCAGGCCTGTGGTGCCTGGCCCCTATGCTGGAATGAATGAAGCTCGGAAAGAAAGGCTGCCTTTGGCTTTCAGGTCTCACCTGGCTCTCCTCCTAGTTCTCACCTGTGTCAGACCCTGAAGTTAGGAGAATGAGCGAGGAGGCTTCCCACACGCCCTAGCAAGGTATCCCTATGTGTCACTAAAATCCTGGGAGCAAGGAATCCAGCACTGTCACATGGTGTGTGTGTCTGTGAATGTTCAAGCATATGATGGTCTTTCTTTTCTCCTACGTAAATGAGAGCATATTAAACAACACCAACACTTTTCTGCACCATGGTTTTTTCCCATTTCATATGATATCTAGTTACATATTGGTAAATATTTAAATGGTAGGTATGCCTAGTGTTTTAGAGAGCCAGGGCTCTATTCCACAGAATGTCAGTACCATAATTCATTTAATGCATTCTGATTGAGAGACATTTTGCTGAAATGGGGGCACATTGCACATGCAGATGGGTGACCACTCAGCAGTATGCCATCCAGGTCTTTGCTGCTCACTGACCCAAATAAGAACCTCTTCCATCTCCTCTCCCTTCGCTCTGTGGAGCCCAACCCCATGCATTTCGGCCACCTGTCACCTCCCACAGAACTGCAAGAACTGCTTTCCAATCCAGCATTTCTCCATTCGAGAAATAAGTCGGCAAGAAAGGAAAAGTTTATCTGTATACATAACAGCCTTCTTGTTTCTCCTTGTCCTGCCTGGCTTTTGTCTGTTAAAATCCACAGTGACTAAAATGACCTCGGAAATAGCCCCAGGGGCTGGGTTTTCCTGGGAGGATAAGGTCTTAACATAAATCTAGGCAGAAGGAACTCTAAGGGACAGTCCCACATTTTGTAAATTCATGAAAAATTAGATGATAGAAACCCCAGCAGGGGCTGAGTATGCCTAAAATTGTTTAAATGTCCAGTACATTAGTACTGATCTTTTCTGGAATGCTGGTGGGTTTTTTTTGTTTTTTTTTTTTTGGTTTTTCTCCGGTACCGGGAACCAAACTCACGACCAGGCGCTTTTGCCCCTGAGCTAAATCCCCAGCCCTGCTCTTTTGTTCAAGAAAGCAATCATTGGCATATGATGTTGTGATTTTGCCTTTTTTGTTGTGTGTGTGTTTTTTTTAAATGATTCTGCTCACTTCCCTTGAAGAGGCCATCTGATGTCTATTTCCTTAGCTAAATATTTCTCCACTGGGGCATATGATGCACATACATTTGTATTTGGGATCCACTCCTATGCCCAAACTGGATTGATTGCATTGTGGAAAGATCAGATAAGAAAAAATAACATTCACATCAAAGATTCTTTGAACATTCTGAAGCTGAAAAAAGAGCTAAGGGGCCTTGGCCATTAGGCAAGGTCACCTATGTGCCTTGCACTGGGAGAGGAGCCCGGCCAAACCCACCGGAACAACCAAGGTCAGGGACGTAGCAAGTGACAACTGCCTGGCCAAGAGATGGGAGGTGGAATTCACGCATCCATGACGATGCACCTGGTGCACCTAAGCCCCACCTCTCAAGCTCCCATCCACATAGCCGGTGCTTTCCAGAACCATCTCTTCCAGAGTCACTGGGAAAAGGAAGGCACACAGGTCCATTCCAGACAGAATGAGATATTTAAGGTCTCTGTGATTGTCTGTGACATCAGAGACTGAACCAGGTTCCTGCACAAATTGTAAAAAGGCGGTAAAGTACCCTTGTCAGAGGACACGTGGATGTAAGCAGGGTAGATAGAGCATGCTGCTTTGGAGATGACTATAACCTGCTGGGTTCACCCTGCACCTCTCTGGGTGGCCCCATGGCTTAACTGGGTGGCCATTATCATTTGACGATCAGAATGGCTAAGACTTAAGGATTAGCAGCCAAGCTGCCTGACTTCCAGTCCCAGCTGGAGCTCTGAGGGAGGACCCCATGTATTGTAAGTTCATAACATATTAGATGATAAAAACTCCTTGAACCTAAAAGAACACAAATTATTTAATTCCTCGATTTCCTTAGCTGAAAGTAGTCACCACCTAGGTCATTCTGAAGGTTAAACAAGATACTTGCATAAGGAAGCATGTGCCCGACCCTTCATACATGCTTGACAAATGGTTTATGCTTACATCTCTCGTCTTATTATCCTGAGCATACCATCCAGTGACTAACCAGATTGTCAAAAGGGATTGGAGGGAGGGATTGAAAGGGGCAAAAGAAATCAGGTTAGATGTGCTGAGCGGGCCAAGGGCTTTGCTACTTTTCCTCTGGGTATTATCCGAAAGTGTGAGCTACAGGGTCTTGGCAGTCAGCTGACTAAGAGTCCTTAAACCTGGCTGTGCTTCAAAGGAGACAGAGAACTTAAAGGTGAACTGGCCAAAAAGCCCTCGAATCATCCTGATGGGGCCAGGTCTGTGGGTGACAGGGCTACTCCAGTTCCCTTCCTGGACAGTGCAGGTCACAAAGGGTCAGAGAGAAGGGACTTGTCCAAGGTCCTGCTGTCAAACTGTGTCCACACTGGGGCCAGCGCCGGCCAGCCGATCCTCAGAGTCCCACGGTCCTTGCTTCACACAAGGCTCTCTGCAGCCAGAGGCTAGAAGAGAAAATCAATGAAGGCTTTCCTGGTCCCTGAAAGCATTTTTTAAAACACAAAATGGGGCCGGGGAGATAGCTCAGCGGCACAAGTGCCAGCCTGGCAAGTGCAAGGTCCTGAGTTTGATTCCCGGTATCAAAAAAAAAAAAACAAAACAAAAAGCAAAATGAGGACAGCAGAATTTCCTGCCAACATATTCTCACACTTTCTTTCAAAGAAAGCAAACTTCATGATGTTGGATTTTAGCTGAATCTGAGTGGGAGCCTTAACCTGGGCTGGGGACAGAGAAGCCCTGGGCTGGGAAGCTGTGTTGAGACCTTTTGGAGTCCTGTTTGCCTGCAGGAAGACATGTGCTTAGCTGTCTGTTTAGAATTCGCTCTTTTCAGGAGGATAAATATCAGCTTGGTATTTTGAAAGGGAGCAGATGGGTGTCGAATGACAACCATTTTCTTTTAATGATGGACATGTGCTAATGAATATGTAAGTATCCAGAGGTGAGGCTGGGAAAGCTCAGCCCTGCTTGGACAGATTTTTTTTGGAAATAGTTTTTGCACCATGGGCCAGGTTGCCAGGGACACTGAGGTTTTGATCATGCCTCTCCCTCCCTGCAGAGCCCAGGGTTGGCACTTGCGGGTTGAATTCTGTGCTGATGGCCCCTCCCGCAGAAGAAAGGGAGAGAGGGGAGACTACCGGGATCCACTGAGGCCCAAGTCAGGAACTCCAAGATGCTTCCTGGCAGGGTCACTTCCCCATCTGTGGCCTCAGCCATGTGGGCCTTGCTATCATCACCACACGGTGTGGATAAAGGTGTCCACGAGATGCAAGTAAAATGCTCACACTGAGCGTGGCAGGCAGTGGGTGTGCCGTGAGTGGCAGTGGCTGTGGTCACCCAGGCCTGGACTCCTCCCATCAGCCTGACCTGTTCTGGGGACTGAGATGTTGACATCCTGCCCTGTACTCTCAGAAGGGAATACTGTATCGGGCTACAGGCAGAGCAGGAAATGAAGCCCAAGGGCTCCTTGCAGAGTTCACCCTCCCTGTATAAGAAGAGCTCTGGGTAGAAGTATGCAGAGGCCCCTTCCACCCTCACGGGCACACACTGGATGACTGTGGAGACTTACCCTGGTCACCCCAACACTGTCTGCTCACTAAGATCCCCTGGTGAGCACCTGAATGGTACCAGGGCCACAGCCTGCTCCAGAGCAGTCAGACAGGAGCCCTGGAGGTAAGGTCTTGGTGGTATTATGGCCAAAACTCCCCAGGGGATTATGAAGTGCAGCCTGAGTGAAGAACCACTGATACGACATAGACATTTTCTTTTATCTTTGCAGCGCTGCTTCAGATACAGTGTTGCAGCTGGCAGCACACTGATTTTCCCAAGGAAAACAACTAGAAAAGCTGAACAAAAAACACATATGTACACATGCACACAAATCTGTTTGAAAGCGTCTGAGAATTCCTAAGCCAACTAGATCTTAAAAGGATAGTAAATACTTGATTACTCCCCAAGAAGGCAAAAAGGAGAAATAAAACAGGTGGGATAAATAGACAATAAATATCAAAGGTATCTATTTAAACCCAAATATACCATGATAAATAGATGAATGATGTAAATAAATGAAACATTCCATCAAAAGAACTTGTCTTTTGAGATTTGCAGTAGAATGATACATTCTTGTTTTGTTTTGTTTTGTTTTGTTTTGTTTTGTTTTGAGACAGGGTCTCACTATGTAGTCTAGGCTGAACTTGAACTCACTGTGTAGCCCACGCTGGTGTTGAACTCATGGGGATCTTCTTGCATCAGCCTCTTGAGTGCTGGGATTACAAGTGTGCATCACCATGCCCAGCTAGAGTGGTATATTCTCAGGACTGTAGTCCATACAGTTCTCCCATCTAAGACTGCACTGTTTGTTTTAGAGAGGGCCCTGAAGATGTTGACTATTCTGGCCAATCATGAAACAGCAGGTGAAAACAAAGGTATATCAAGAATGACTCCCCCAAAAGGTCAACACTTCAGGTTGAAAGCTGCCTCAAACCCAGAAATGAGGGACTCCCTAAAGACAAGGAGTCAGTCCTAAAAGCAGCCAGAGGGAACAGACGGACTACATGCAAAAAATAATTGACTAAAGGCAGAATTAGGCAGACCAAAGGCAGTACACTAATATCCTCGTGGGGGTGTAACTGTCAGCTCAGAATGGTAAACCCAGCAAAAATGTTTTCCTAAGATGAAAACAAAGTCCTTCTGATAAACCTGGAAGACTTTCTGTCACGCTCTCAGCAGAGACCGACAGAAGCAAGTTTTCAAGGATGTACATCAGGGAGGACACGTGATCATAGCAGAAAGAGCTGGAATGCCTCGGGAACAGT